GGTCCAATCTTTTATTTATTTGACAAAAATGTGTAACTTTCTATTTTTAGGTGAAGCCACAGCCTTTTGGTGAATTTTGTTGATTAGTGAAAGGATTGACTTAAAATAAAGAGGTTTATTCACTGACAGATGAAACTGGCTTTTAGCCAAATATATAACTGAGTTTCAGTATTATATTGTTTGATGCAACTTCACTTCCTTCTTCTTTGTAGGTAACTCCTCATTGTTCCATGACCTAGATCAATGACAGCAGAGATTAAAATCTGTTTGGATAGGTAAGTCATAGACATTGTTTCTGGTTAAGCAGGGGAACCATGGCCTCTGTCTACTTCACTGCCAATCAATACCTAAATCCACAGGTGAATGCACTGGACTGCAAAGTCGGTTATAACTGCAAGGTCAGAGGTTCAAGCTCACCATCCACTCCTCAGAAACCCTATACAGGATCTTAGTCAGAACCGAACCAACTCAACAGCACTAAACAATAGCAACAGTAGCACTATTCATCCCAATATGATACATGTATATAATCTCCCATGTATGCAAAGAAAATAGCATTAAACAAGAATGTTGTGTCCTAACAGCATACAATGATAGCCTGTTTTGATACTCTCAACAAATAATTGCTCAGAATTGTGTGGAACATAGTACACAATTTGAGTATTTACAAAAAAGTGGTTACAGTTTCTTATTTTCAAGTGTACAAATGCATAGAAAAACAGGCTTCTCAATACTCCAGTAGTTGTAAAAATGTTAATATTTACCTATTTAGTGAAGCACTAACATTTAAATGCTTGCCATCTGTAAAAAATCGCAATACTTTGCATATGTAATTCACTTTTCACAACAACCTAATGAAGTTAGGAACTATATTCTCTTTATATAAGGAAACAGAGGTCAAGAGGAATTCATTACTTTGCCAAAAGACACTTAACCAGAAAGAACCTATATCTCAGCCCACATCCATTAGTCCCTGTGAGCACTACTCTATATAAAAGTTAAAATACACTGAGAACTTAGTTTATGCTAGATTCTGTGCTGGATGCTATATTTACATCATTTCACTTAGTTCTTACAAATGGAAATGTGTGAAATCGTTTCACTGGGTTACCTCATTCAGGTCATTCTCTGATGTCATTGCAAGAGACATTCTCCTAACAATCCTACTTAAATATATTTCTTAATATCTGTTTTAGTAGAACTTTCCACTAAATAACATATAAATGTTCATTTCTTCTCTGTCTCTCTAACATGCAAGTGCCATGAGGGCAACTTGCAAAACAGTACCTATTACATACATAGGTGTTGTTGTTAAGTGCTGTAGAGTCAGTTCTGACCCATAATGACCCTCTAAAGGGTTTCCAAGGAGGGACTGGTGAGTTTAAACTGCCGACCTGTGGTTCAAACTGACCTTGTGGTCCAGCGCATTAACCCACAGCACCATACCAGAACTCATATTACATAGTTTTGTTGTTGTTAAAGTGCTGTTGAGTCAATTCTGATCCATAGCAGCCCTGTATAAAGTTTCTAAGGAGCAGCTGGTGAACTTGAACTTCCGACCTTGCCATTCAAATTGACTTAACCCACAGCGCCACACTAGGGTTCCATGACATAGTAGGCACTCAATAAACTCAAAGAAATGAGTAAATGAATTGAGAAAAAAAATTGCTTGAATGTTGGCCCTATTAATTTGTTGTTGTTATATGCTGTGGAGTCAGTTCCAACTCATAGCTACCCTGTACAGGATTTCTGAGGCTGTAAATCTTAATGGGAGCAGAAAGCCTCATCTTTTTCCTGAGGAATGGCTGGTAGTTTCGAACCTTGAGGTTAACAGCTCGACTCGTAACCACGACACTACCAGAGCTCCTAGTAGTCACATTAAAAACAAAGTGATAAGCAACAGGTGGAATCAGTTTTTATAAACATTTCATTTTGAAGTAGTTTTAGTTTTAGAAAAAGATTGCAAAGATTATACAGAGCTTTTTAATTTACCCCTCATCCAATTTCCTTTGGTGTTAAGATCTTACATTGTTGTTGTTAAGTGGCCTTGAGTCAGTTCCAGGTCATAGGGACCCTGTATAATGTCAGGAGGGACCATTTCCTGGAGATGGACATCATGCTTGGAATAATGGATAGTAACAGCATAAGAGGAAGACCCAACAAGATGGAATGACACAATGACGACAATGGGCTCAGACAACAATTGTGAGGCTGGCATAGGACCAGGCAGTGTTTTGTTCTGTTGTGCATTGTGTCTGTCGTTGTGAGTCGCAATCCACCGATGGCACCTAACAGCAACAACAAGCTGGTACAGACTCATAGCGACCTTATGCACAGCAGAACAAAGCACTGCCTGATCCTGGGCCAACCTCACTACTGTTGCCACGCTTGAGTCCATCAATGCTGTCACTTGGCTAATCCATCTCGGTGGGGGTCTCACTCTTTTTCTCTGACCTTCTACCTTACCAAACATGATATTCTTCTCCAGTGATTGGTCCCTCCTGACAAAATGTCTGAAGCATGAAAGACATGTTTGGCCATCCTGGCCTCCAAGGAGCACTCTGGCTGCACTTCTTCCAAAATGTATCTATTGGTTCTTTTGACAGCGCATGGCACTTTCAATATTCCCCTTTAACACCGTAACTCAAAAGCATCAATTCTTCTACGGTCTTCCTTATTCACTGTCCAGCTTTCGCATGCATATGAGGTTATTGAAAATACCATGACTTTGGTCAGGCGCACCTTAGTTCTCAAGCTGACAGCCTTGCTCTTCAACACTTTAAAAAGGTCTTGTGCAGCAGATTTGCTTAATGCAATACATCCTTTGATTTCTTGACTGCTGCTTCCATGTCCGGGAAAATTGTGGGAAGTGAAAACTGACAGAGTAAACCAAAGCTGAGAATGGGAGGGTTGTCAAGAAAGCTTGTGAATTAACAAGTGATAGCGGCAGTTTCCTACACATTCACAAAACCAACCAATCTGCCTTATCAAATAGCATAAGTTATCGTGCTGGCACAAGAGTAGTATCTCATCTGCTCTGCAGAGGAAGAGACAGGATCCAGAAACGAACGTTGTCATCGGAGTCCTGCCCCAGTTTTAGGAGTCCTGCCCCAGTTTTAGAAGGTGCTCGCTCCCTGAAGTGGCGGAGGGTGGAGGTGGGGGGTGTTGATAAGAGTTCAGGCAAAGTAACTGTGGTAGGTGTGTGAATTTTGTACATAATTGTGGCACAGGGGGAGATACTTGGCTTGAATACAAAGCATGGGGTCATTTAAGGATAGAGAAGGGCATTGTTGTTGTTAAGTGCTGTCAAGTCGGTTCCAACCCATCGCGACCCTGGGAAGAGCCTAAGGGAAAGCTTAAGGACAAAAAGCATTAACATTTTGGGACAGGCGGCAAGGTTGAACGTAGAGCTGAGAAAGACTTCTGTTCCCTGCTCCCTAAAGCCCCGAGTGAGGATTCTAAGGACAAAGCTATAAGGCGGCAGGGAGGGGTGAAAGGCCAAACCACAGTGCATTCTTTAGGTCTTGCGGCTAGAAGACTATTATCATTAGCAGTCGTCGTCTTCGCCCCTATTTTCCTCTCCCTGGGTAAGCTCCGCCTGGGAGTGGCCTTCTCCCTAAACTAAAATCAAGCCCGGTTAACCTAGAAGCTGTAGGAAAACCCGCCGACTGTCGCCCGGGAAATACCCGAGAAGCAAAACTGCCCCACCTCTGGCGCCATACGGGTAGTTTTCCTGCCTTGGGCGAAGATCTCGCTCCGCAGGCGAAGGGATCCGCGCACAAGCACCAATCAAAACAGACGCTTTCACGTGACTCGCTCCAGCCAATAGGAGCAGCTGCTGCAACGGCAAGGAAATTCAAACGGGGTTGTGGATGGCGGCATGGGGTCCATCTTTTAATGTCTGTAACTCCTCTTCTAGGCCATGAGTTCTGCCTCGCGGGTGCACGGAGGAACGGCGGTAGCCGGTGTGTGGGCTCTTTAGCGGCGCGGGTCGGTGAGGGATGTGGACGAGGCAGGGACGCTTCGGAGCTGGATAGGACGCGGCTAAGCCAATTGAAGGGGGAAGGGAGGTCTTGCTGCCTGCTGGCTTGTATAGGTTAGTGCGGGAGATTTTGTTGACCTGGGAAGTGAGACGTGAGTGTGTATCCCGTTGGGGCGAGAAGAGGGCCTAGGTGCGGCGCCTGGAGAGAGGCTAGAGACAAGGGATCCTCTCTCTAAGGACACTACTTCATGGTTAGTAGGGTTAGGACGGGAAGATGGGCGTGTTCTGACAGTTACCGTTCCAACCTGACTTCACAGGCAGGATGGTATTTTGTCGCCCTGCGTCGGGCTGTTTAGGGTGGCTTTGATATCAGTGCCCTGGGCAACTGAGTTCTTGTCTGAATCGCAGTGATGATACTGAGAGAAAGACGAGACATTTGGGTGACCAAACATCACAACTATGCAGATGACTGAGTGCATAGTACGAGTACAGTGGATTCTTTGTGTTAGAGTTATTAACATAGTGGTAAATCATGATACTTCCAGGTATGCACCAGAACAAACCTACGGTGCAAATATATGCTCACATAAAGCAGATGAATGAAGAAATGGATTTTATAGCCCCCAAAAGATAATATGTTATTGCCAAATCAAAACAAACGCTCCATCGGGTTAAAAAAAAAAAGACAATTTGCAGCTAGATGACCCTAGAAAATAGTTTGGGGGGAAAAAATGAAGGATTGAAATTGTAAAGGGCCAGCAATTTCTGTGTTGTGCAATGACTGAAGTTTAATTATAAGAAAAGGTATCCACAGTGTGTTTGGAAACCTTGCTGAATTAATTACAAAGATGTATTTTTTGTGTCTATAGCTCCTCAAACACTATCCAGGTAATATCTAAGTTTACATGTGTTCACTAAAGTAATACTTTAGAGCCATCTTCATATTAAGAGACTACTTGCTTTGGGGTTAATTAATATAATAGAAAATTTGCTAAGTTCATTGTTGTTTTCCTTAGAAATGGAGGCTGAGGATTTAAGTGGCAGAGAATTGACAATTGATTCCATAATGAACAAAGTGAGAGATATTAAAAATAAATTTAAAAATGAAGACCTCACTGATGAGCTGAGTTTCAATAAAGTCTCTGCTGATACGACAGGTACGTTTCTCTCTTTTTTTTTTAAGTAATAACTTAAATGAGTGCTCTCTAAGTTAAAGAATGATGTGTTAGTCACTGTGTGACACGCAAAGTAATTTTCTGAGTACTTGACAGTTGCCTACCAGTTTTATTTTTTTAACTCTTATGTGGAAATGTTCCACAATTTTCTGCTATGTTGCAAAAGGAATTTAAAACATATTTATTACAGTATGCCCAGAGATAGTTTTTTTTAATTCTTTTATTATTGTCAGCTGTCATGGTGGTATGCCTTCCACCATTAGCTAGACGCCTTTCCCCCCACATTTTTGCCGCAAACTGAAAAAGCTTCGCAAATGTTAATAAAATAGTCTATCACTGTGGAGTCACTCACTTGATTTTTGATATGGAGAAACTTCTTTTACTCTCCTGGCCTTTTTTTTAATGATTTCTTTTTCACTCTGTTCTAGTCACAGTGACTTCCCAGATGTTTTCTTAGGTTCCAACCCAGCTTCTGCCCTAAGGCTTTTGCCCTTAACCTCTGCTGGGCCCCTTTTGTTGATGAGTGCTGTAGAATTGGTTCCCACCCATAGCAACCCTGAATAGGGTTTCCGAGGAGCAGCTGGTGAGCTTGAACCACTGACCTTGTAGTCCCTTGTTGTTGTTGTTGTGAAGTGCCGTTGAGTCAGTTCTGACCCATAGCGACCCTGTATAGGGTTTCTGAGGAACAGCTGGTGAGCTTGAACTGCTGACCTTGCAGTTCAAATGGCTTTACGGTATGGTGCATTAACCCACAGCACCACACCAAGACTCCCTACTCCCTAGAAAATCTGCCCACTTTCAACTCCTACAGGCCTTTGTTTAAATATCATCTAAGTGAAGCCTACCCTCACCTACCTATTTTAAATAGCAGCCGCTACAAAGGAGGGGTAGGGATGGGTTCCCTATCGTTCCTATTTCTAGTCTTCTCTATAGCACTAAGTACCTTGTATGTCATTTACTCACATTTCTTTCTATATTACAATGTGAGCTCCATGAGGGTATAGAGGGTATAGTTATTATATTTGTTTTATTTTTTTCTCTGTTACAGCCACAGAACCTAGAATGGTAACTAGTACTTAAATATATATTATATGATAAGGGAATGGAAATGCCCAAAGTTTAGTACCCTGGTTCTTGGAAAGTGCTGGCTCAGAAGCCTAATTAAAAAAAAAAACTTGTATATTTAATTAGATGAAGATTTACAGAGCAATTGAGTTTTCCATTCAACCGTTCATACACGTTTTGTATCATTGATTGTAATCCCCACAATGTAACATCACTTATCCCACTTCCTTCCTGTTTCCAGCTTCAATTCCTTCTTTCTTAATGCTTTTGAAATTTGTTTTTGAGTTAATGCTGCTCTTTTGATCTTAAATGGTTAATTTTTCTAAAGAAATGCATAGCTCCCTGGTATTATTGTTCACTTGCTAAGTGTGACTTTAGTTTGTCTGAAAATTGAGCAACGTGGGTGAGTTCAGTTCAGACCCGAAGTGTGGCTAAGGGCCATAACTCATGGATTCCACCAGTCTCAACCAATCTCTAACTATGGAGCCGAGTCTTCTTTATGATTTAAAATGTTCCGCATTTTTTCTCTAAGGATCTAGTAAGTTTTATTCTGATCCCTTTCAGAGCAGTTGGTAGTGGTAGCTGAACACCATGTACTTCTTACAGTATCACAATTGTGAAGATCGATGTTCACTTGGTCCATTACGCCATTGGAATAATTGTTTCCGTGTCCCTTCAGTTTTCTTCACTCTTCTTTGCACCAGGCCCAGAGGGATAAATAGTTGCACCTTGGATAGCCACTCATAAACTTTGAAGACCCCAGTCATTACTCATCAGAAATACATAAGAGCTTTCTCTTGTGTACTTTATTATGCCAATTAATCTTGGTGTTCCCTGAACCTATGGTCCTGAGCCTTCAGGCCAAGTAACTCGTTTCCTCAAGGTGTTTTGGTTATGACTAGGAAGTTATCGTAACTTTGACTCACCACATTCATAGATATATTTGAAGCCTGGGTAAATTGTTGTTGGTAGTTAGGTGCTGTCAAGTCAGTTCCACTTCATAGCAGCCCTATGCTCAATGAAACAAAACCCTGCCTGCTCCTTTGCAGTCCTTAGAATTGTTGTAACAGTGTAGCCAGTGCTGCTGTCAGTCTCTTGAGGGTCTTACTCTTTTTCACTGACCATCCACTTTACCAAGCCTAATGTTCCTTCTCTAAGACTAGCCCCTCCTGTTTACATGTCCAAAGTTTGAAAGGTGAAGTCTGTTCATCATGGTTTCTAAGGAGCATTCAGTCTTTTCTTCCAATACAGATTTGTTTGTTCTTCTGGCAATCTATGGTACTTTTACTATTTTTTTTCCAACACCATAATTCAAATTAATCGATTCTTCTACAGCCTTCCTATTCACTGG